CATTGGCCTGTGGTCCAGATGCCCTAACATGTATCCACCAACAATCTTCAGACTTTCCAAAGTCCAGTGGTCCAAAAGGACAGCAAGAACTAGGCCAGAATCCCCCTCAAGGACCTCCCTGGTCAAGAAAGGGAAACATATAGACAGAAGTCACCCACAATTGGATCCCTCCCAGTAGGGGGGCTGAGGATGGGCTCTAGCAGAGACCCTAGAAATCTATCCACAGACTGCATGTGGTCCCAAGACAATTCCATTCTCCACATGGAAAGCAGGAGGGGTACCAGAATGGCCTGAAATCCAGACCCAGGGAAAGAAAAGAGGAATCTGCAGCAAAAACATCCACCCATGTGACAGTCATTCACAACAGGCTAGCCCACATTGGACTCTTATTCAGATCGTTTCAAATCTATGCACCAACACTTTGTAAAACTTTGAGAGTCCCTCAGTCAAGAGGCACAACAGCAACTGCATCAGAATCTCTTCAAAAAGGAAAACCCCGGTAAAGAAAAGAAGAATGTGTACCAGAAAACCCAACTAGGATGCTTCTGATCAAAGCCAGGGGCACCAAGCTGGGCTCTAGCAGACACCCATAGTATCTAACCACATAGATGTAGATCCAAGAAATTCCTTTTGATTTTCTGGAAAGCAGGAGGTGGGCCAGAATCTCTCCTCATGTGGGCCCAGGTAAAGAAAACAGGAGTCTAGAATCAATAATCCACCCAGGGGAGGGTCATTCACACCAAGGGCGCCTAGAGTGGCCTCTAATCCAGATTACCTAACATCTATCCACCAACAATCTATTGATCTGAGAAATTCCACAAGGATATCCAAAAGCATATGAAGAACTAGACCAAAATGCTCCAAAATGATTCCCCTGGGAAAGGAAAGAGAATAGACAACAAATATACCCCTAGAATTCCATCCCTCACAGTAGGAGTGCTGAGGATAAGCTCTAGCAGAGAACACAGAAATCTATCTGGAGACTTCTTTCCATCCTATGATCAACGGATTGTATACATGGAAAACAGGAAGTGTAGTGAATGCCCTTATATCGAGACCCAGGCAAAGAGAACTGGAATGTTTAACATAAAATCCAGCCATGGAAAATCATTCACAGCAGGGCAGCCAAACGTGGTCTCTAGTAACGATCCCCTACAGTCATTCCATAGAGAGTTGCCGCAATTTGAAGTGGCCCGAAACTGGACTCCAACACAAATCTTGTTGTCCCATGTTGTCCCATGAAAATACTTGTGTGTACACAGAAAGCTGAAGGTCAACCAGAATCATGTGAAATAGAAACCCAAGGAACAATAAGAAGAATCTGCGTCATAGAAAGCACCTATGGGCATAGCATTCTCAGCAAGGGGCCCAAGCCTCGACTCTACTATAGACTTCCTAAAATAGATGCTTGAGCAACCCGGGGATATCATACAGTCTCAAGGTTCAGAGGGACACTAGAATTCCCCAACAGAAAGCCTTAGGTCAAGAAGGGTCAATGGACAACAGGAAATCCACCCAGGATGGCATGAATCACAGCAGAGGGTCTGGAGCTAGGCTGTAACAGAGACCCCAGAAATCTCTCTTCAGACTGCATGTGGTCCCAAGACAATTCTCATGTCTCCATGAAGAGCAGGAAGTGGGCCACAATCTCCTGAAATAGAGTTCAAGAAAAGAGGAATTTGGGATTCAAAAAGAAGACAATCTAGGGAACAGTCATTCACAGCATTAAGGCCTAAACTGGCCTAGAGGAAAGGTCTCCTCCAATCTATCCACACACAGGTTGTGGAACTTAAACCCTTGAGAAGGAGGGACCACAGGAACTGGACCACAATTCCCCCCGAGAAAAGAGCCAGGTGAAGAGAGGAGGAAAGTGCAAGAAGAAGTCCAACAAGGTAGAAATTGATCAAAGAAGCTCGGCTGTCACTGGCCTTGGGGAGTGACTTTCGAAATCTATCCACAGACTGCACGTGGCATCAGAGCAATCTCCGTATCACGAGGTGAACCGGAATCTCCTCAAATGGAGACCCTGGTGAAGACAAGAGGAATCTTCAACAAATAATCAGTCCATCCATGGGACAGTCATTCACAGCAGAGGGGCCTCCATTGGCTTCTGGTCCAGATGCCCTAACATCTATCCACCAACAATCTGCAGACTTTCCAAAGTCCAGTGGTCCAAAAGGATAGCAAGAACTAGGGCAGAATCCCCCTCAAGGACCTCCCTGGTCAAGAAAGAGAAACATATAGCCAGAAGTCACCCACAATTCGAACCCTCACAGTAGGGGGGCTGAGGATGGGCTCTAGCAGAGACCGTAGAAATCTATCCACAGACTGCATGTGGTCCCAAGACAATTCCATTCTCCACATGGAAAGCAGGAGGGGTACCAGAATGGCCTGAAATCCAGACCCAGGGAAAGAAAAGAGGAATCTGCAGCAAAAACATCCACCCATGTGACAGTCATTCACAAGAGGCTACCCCACATTGGACTCTTATTCAGATCTTTTCAAATCTATGCACCAACACTTTGTAAAACATTGGGAGTCCCTCAGTCAAGAGGCACAACAGCAACTGCAACAGAATCTCTT